TCTGCTGCCCACTCCAATCCAACAGAATCCCTGACCCTCCGCAATAAGGAAAGAAAAAAGTTGAAAGAACAGATGACCAGAGAGGTGGTGACAGCGTGAAACTTTCAAAAATCAACACTGCACAAGTCGAGACTTGGAGGCACTTGAAGTTTGGTTACAGGAAAAGAAAATAAAGACAGGAGACCCTAATCCTGAGCCTGGAGCAGGGTGAGGGCAGGGGTGACCGCGAGAGAATGAGGGAGAGGAAGAGCATATAAACTCACTGCCTAACAGCAGCTGGGAATAAAAGCAGACCAAGGAGAAACAGGAACAGCAAAGTCGGTGAGGGCATGGGGCAGTTTAACCCAGCTCTTCACTGAAAGCCAGCAAGACGTGGCTGCCCTTGGTGGAGTCCACAGCTGGCCAGCCTCCCTGGAAGCAATCTAGTCAACACAGCTTCTCTCAACTGAGACTGAGATTCCTCACAACACTAAGAATAAAACCACCATATGACGCAGCTATCCCACCTGGTGGTGTTTATCTAAAAGATCTAAAATCACCATATTATAGAGATACTGCCACATCATTGTTTATAGCAGCAAAATTCACAATAGCCAGGTTATGGAGCTAATCCAGATACCTGTCAACAAAGAAAATGTGGTTTAGATACACAATGGAGTGCTACTCAGCCATAAAGAAGAAAATCATGGCATTTGCTGGTTACTGGACAGAAGTGGAGAACATCAGGTGAAATGAAATAAACCTGACTCAGCGAGTCAAGCATAAAATGCTTTCTCTCCTATGCGGAAGCCAGACCAAAATACAGAAAAAAATCTGGGTGGAAAACATCCCATGAAAACAGAAGAGAGATCAGTTGAGTAGAGGGAGAGGATGGAAGGGGGGTGGGAAGAGGGCTGGGGAAAATGAGGAATGTGAATGAAATTGACCAAACTGTTTTATGCACATGTATTTTATGCACAGATATACCAGAGAATTTCATCTTGATGAATTTAATTGTGAAATATTTTAAACACAAAATATAGTGTTATGTGATTTTTTAAAAGACTATAATTAAATAGAAGAAACATGATTAGATTAGAGGGAAGGGAACTGGGGAGATATGAGGGCAGGAAAAGCAGAAGTCCTGGGGACTGAGCCGGAGCAAATTGCATTCTTGCTGGTGTAATTGTGTTAATGAACTCCAATAATATGCACAACAGTGAGGTATGAAGAAAAATATGTTACTTTAAAAAAAAGAAGGCAGCTTTGTTGGCACCCACTTGTAATCCTAGGCACTTGGGAGGATTGCAAATTCAAGGTCAGTTTCAGCTATTTTCCAAAACTCTGTCTCAAAATTAAAAAAAAAAAAAAACTAACAGTGCTGGGGCAGAAGCTGAGTGGTAGAGCACTGTTGGATTCAATCACCAGCATCCCCCAGTAATAATAGGTAAGTAAATAAATACATAGTAAACAAGAAAATAAAATTGATGTTAATTATTAGCCTTCAGTAAGAGCAGATTAAAAACTCTATACAATTCTCTGTAAATTAACATCCATCTTTTTGCTGCTAACCAAGAGTTTAAAATGAATTTATAGGGTCTTTCTTATAGAACAACTCAAATAATTTCCATGTGTGGTTTTGTATTTCTTTAAAGACTGCCTGAGTTTTATTGTTCTAATAAGAGAAGGTGCTTCACTGCCTTTTGAAAATGTCCCTCAAAGCCTTGCTGTGGACCTTGTACCATGCCTGATATTAAAATCTAGTAATGCTTAAATTCTAGAGGAACTTAAAATAACTTTTAAAATACATTAATAAATAAAATCCAATGGGAAATGATGATCAGTTATTAGTCAGATTTATAAAAACTGATTTAAATAATAAAAATTTCATGTTTTAATCAAGTCCTTTTTCTGTATTTTCTGATTTTTTTCATTCTTTTTTTCCCCACTTTTTTGATTGCTTAAAACAAAATTAAGTTCTAGAAGAAATTGGGTTTATTCAAAACTTTATTTGTTAAAAAGCCTATTTTGGTTTACAATCTGTTTATATGAACTACCAGTTTTACAATGAAGTGTTGTGTGTTGTTGATACAAATCCTATAAACTTACAAAATCTGATAGTCTGGATATAAAGCTATAAATCATGATTGTTATCTTAATAACTAAATTGCTTATTAAATTACAAAGTTCTCTAAGTACTAATAAACCTTATAGATGGTTTGTAGTCATACTAGGTAGTGTGAACAAGGTTAAAGGCAAATCTGCTTTACTCAACCTCCATCTCATGACAAATTTAAGGGATAAAGGTGTTGATATAGAATATGTATAAGTCCTGCTATTTTAAAGGGGTATTAATTTTTTTCTGAGAACTGCTTACATCATTACCTTGTTTACAAAGAACATCTAACTATGTATGGATGTTCATAATTGGTAGGATCACATTAATTTCTTGTATACTATGTTCCAAATTTTTACACTCTACAGAAGTTAGGACATGTGGGTTAAACTGTCTACCCACATGGGGATTAACCTTGATTTACAAAAACAGGACTCCAACTGTTGAGCCCTCTTTAGGCAGATCTGACAGGACTATTTTTTACGAAGTTGGATTTATTGTTGGATAAAGAAGATAGAACTAAAGAGACTGTGCTTACTAGTTTACATCTGTCATGCAGACTGGAAGGCTTTGCTTTTATTAATATTTTGTAGTTTTTCTGGCCTAAGAAATGATCTATCAAAAAATTTCCATTGCTTAATATTGTCTAAAAGAGGGTGTTGAGATACTGATTCATAAATTGTCAGTTTTCCCCCTACATGAGACCACTGGAGTCAAAGAACAGGACAAAGGTCCTATATCATGGGACAGAGATGCTTGTCAAATAGTCAGCAATGTATTCGAGGAAATCATTCAGAAATCATGGTGTCACTTGTTGAACTTCAATAAAAATAAAACTTTTCTCTAGTTCATTAAAAAAATGACTGCTTAATCATTTGATCTTCCCATAGTTGAATTCTACCACCAGCAACATGGATAAATGCTAATTTAAGAGCACATGTAATTTTTAACATCAAATATATAAGAGTTTATGCTGAATTCTCATTGTATAAAAGAGAGAGGTGAAAGTTATCTGGACTGTGAGCCGTCACACAGTCGTCACACTTAGGGATGGTCAGAGAACAACACAGCATCTCAGACTGAGGATGTTGTTTTCCTAAGTAGGAGCTGCACGCAGTGGAATGTGCTTTATTTGTGAAAACTCACTGGACATCTCATGCCTGGCTAGTACGATAAAAACACTTAAAATACATAGCAGTAAATAAAAAGCCAGTTTAAGCAAAAGATTACTATCCCATTTCATATAATGTCAAGTTGGACAGTGAGTGTATTTAATAAGTACACATCTGGTCAGTTTTTGAAAAGATGAAGTGTAGCATCTTGGAAATAACAGAAATCAACGTAGAAAATTCAATAGAACAGGAGTCAGAACAGCATTGTTGTTTTTCATTATGTCCAGTATTATATGGAACATGTAAGACAATTTTCATTAGCCAAAGGCAAATAGTGTTTTAATATACAAACAGTGGTGTTTCCTTCAAGAGACATAGCTAACACAGAAGCATAAGAGCAGATACAGAAGAAACACTCTCCACATAGTTTTACAAATGATTCAACGAGATTAGGAAGAAAACACAATAGAAAGAAAACTTTATGTTAAAGCTTTTGCCATTGGATGAAATTGATATTTAAATCTGAAATTTACATTTGTTACATAAAATTTTCTAGAATTATTGCTTGACTCACAATAAACCTAATCCAAGTGATATGTATGTACAAACACACATGTATATTGATATATCTAAACATGTACACATTTAAAATATATAAAGGTATATTCAAGAGTTTAATTTTTAAGTAAATTTAGACATTTCAATTTATACATTTATCTTTTTGTAAGCTGGGAAAAAAGAACCAGGGATTCAGGCAGAGCCAAGTCTTCAGATCTTTATCAGAATGTTGTTTTAGTACTAAGTGCTACTAACAGGATTATAAACTCTAAACAGTAAATACTTGCCCTTATTTCTGACTAGGGAATAGCCAAAAGTCCAGTCTGTAAAAGAATGTTATGCAGAACCTCTTGATCTGCAAAGATAAAGTGACCCAAATTATATGCAAGTTGCTTTAGTCAGCTTTTTATTGCTGTGATGATGGCACCCAATAAGAATTACTTAGAGGAGAAAAGATTATTTGTACCAGAGATCTCAGTCCATAGCCAACTGACTCCAAGGCTCTGGGCCCAGTGTGAGGCAGAGCATCATGGGTAGATGACATGGTGGGGGTAATTTGCTCCCCTCATGGCAGCAAGGAAGCAGAGAGACTGGGAAGGTGGGAAGGGGCCAAAGGCAAGATTTCCCATCCAGTGCATGCCCCCAGTGACCTGCCTCACCCACCCATATCACACCTGCCCACAGTTACCATCAGGTCAGCTCATTCAAACCAGGATGGACTGTTTAAGTTACACCTCTCCCAATGCAATCATTCCACCTCTGAATATCCCCACATTAACACAGGAGATTTGGGACATGAGTCATGTCCAAACCATAAAAAAAGGCCAACCTACTGTACACTTACATCAAAGACTGGTTGTAAAAATACAATGCTCATATTTTGAAAATAAATCTGGCTTAAAAAAATTTTATGTGCTATCAATCAGAAACCAGGTGTAAAATATTGCAAATGGGTCCGTGTTGATATTTGATTTACCAATGCCTTCCTCCATGACATGAAGGTAGAAATAAGTGTGGGAGAAAAAAATACTTAGATATTTTTTAAATAAATTGCTTAAGCCACCCAGCACACACCAGCAGGGAGCACAAAGACATGAGTGCATGTGTAAAACTCACCATTCCCATGTGAAATAACTATACAGTTATGCTTTAAATTTTATGGGTTGGAATGAATAAATAAGAATTATGCAAAACCTTATAGTTCACATGTTCATCAGATCAGGGGTTTTTATTTTTTATATATAGGAAAAACAAAACCTGGATGCACTGGAGTCTCTGCTTATGAGCAGTAAGGGGCTGATCGCTGGAAAACACCCAGAGAGTATTGCACCCATGTTCAACAGGAACAAGTTGGGGTTATCAATAACAGCCAAACACAGCTGAGAGATGCAGGAAAGTGTGTACAAAGAGACAAAGGTGCTCACCAGAAGGAGGATGGTTTTGGTGGCTCTGGACTCAGGAGAGGACCTGGGGGAGCTGGTCTTATGAACATGCTGCATTCTCCGCTTGTGCCTGTGCAGGATGAGCACCATGGAGCTGCTGGCCCAGAGCATGAGCCCCACACACAGGGCATCAGGGAAGGTTAGCAATGCTGCAAACAGTGAGTCTGTGGTTGTGTCATGACGAACACTAGAACAGTATCCAAAATCCTTTAGGATTATAATGGTTGTATTGTTCCATTTTCCAGTTACATGCATAAGAATAATAATATTTATAAACATGTATAGTATGTAGCTCAGGAATATGGAGGAGCCAATGTACCTGGGAGTTTTCACTTTAAGCTCTGCCCACCTGGAGTCCCTGGGGCTGATGGTGATGGCCTGGAAGATACTCAGGAGGCTCGTGCTGCCAATGGACACACACCTGCTGACTCTGTGAACATAGAAAAGCAGCTTGCATGCAACATCACCAAGAGAAAATTCCAAACTGAAAGATGCCATTGTGTGGGGAACCCCTTTACACAGGAGAGTTAAAAAGTTGGCCACAATCAAGTGCTGAAGAATCAAGTCTGTGTGTCTTACCCTGAACCCAGTGAAGTAAAGGACCAGGTAATGGAGGAGAAGAGAGGAATTGCCCAGAGCTCCAACCACAGTCTGTGACAAGAAGATGATACCTACAGCCACTTCACTGGCTGCCATCCCACCAGTTCCCTGATGTCCCAGCCAAAGTGTCCTGTAGAAGAACAGGAGGTCTGGGCTGCATATGTCCTGTCAACCAAAACTCAGCATTCCCACTCTCCAGAGTTCCCACTGTGAACATTGCATGCTTCTGTTTTTTACTGGCAGGTTTTAATGAGGTCTGTTTGAATTTTTTAAAGCATGAAAACAGCACATAGTGACTTCTTCAATCTTCAAGATTTGAGGCAGTTGCTGAGATGATTTTGCATGATGACCAGGAGAACTTGGTCATGCAGCAGTTAAACATCTGACTAAATTCATGCTCTGATTAGGGGAGTGGAGGGGACTGGCTGAGTGGTGAGAGTCAACACAGTGAACCACCAGGACTCCTTAACAGTGGTGAGTGGGGTTCTTCAAAGAGTCCAATTCACTGTTTAGTTTCAATTTTCTAAATTCCTATTATCCTCTAAACTGATGGTATTTTAAGCTTTTATTCTAATGTGTTCCTATTTGCTTGGAAAGAATTATTCTACAAGCCAATGCCAATTATGAGAGAACCTGAGACATATTGCAGGTGCTCTGAGGGGAGTAGAATCCAGCAGGCACCTGTCTCATGGTGAGCTATGTGCAGGGAGACAGTATTGGCTCCATTTCAAGACAGCTACTACAGAATTCACTTGGTTGTATGTTAGAAAGTGCCAAAATTTGTAACTGAAATCTTGGTCCCTGTCCCCAGTGCCTGTTGCAGTAAAACTGTTATGGAGGAATCAATGATGGTGGCTGATATTACAACAATGAGGAGGATGTTTTTAAACACCTGAAAACAAGATTTATGTATGATACATACTGTTGGAAAACCACAATTATTATATTACATTTTCCTTATAAATTTCTTATCAGTTAAGAGGGAAATACCTGAAAAAAAATCATAGACAACAGATGGTTTCAGGATTGGTACAATGATTGTCTCCCTGAGCCACACCATGCCCAGAGTTAAAGAAGATGTTCTAGTCTAACATCATGAATCAGATCCATTTCTACACAGTACTCGAGGATTCCTATAAGTTCTTCCTACTCTACACAACAGGCTTGGAAATGTCGTAGGTCCAGTTCTAGAAATCCAGAAAGCAGCACAGAATTTCTGTAAGGAAGACTAGCAGCAGACTTATTTTAAATGCACCTTACAAATTGATGTAATCTAGTTCAGCAGCCACCATCAAGGAGGATCACTTTATGATCAACTGGAAGCCATCAGAGATGGCTGCAGGATCTTCACTACATAAGCCCACTCCTCAAGAATTTTTCTGCCTCTTGGTGTGGCTCTGGAATTCAACCAGATCACAACAGAATCCCAGATTCTGGTGTGATCACTTACCCAGACTCTTGAAATGGGTCTTCCCTCACAAATGCTGCTCTCACACTGACATAGGTATCCAACAGCCACTTTCTCTTTCCAAGGACAGTAATCTCAGCGCAGAGACCTCTGTGACCAGGACAAGTGCTGCAGGGAGGAGGCCAGCTTCTAAGATATGGTTTTGTGACTCTGTCACCTCCCGTCCCCTGAGACCTGCAATTATCACTGTGCCTGTAGCAGCAATGGACATGCAGGCTTGGGGAGCTGAGGACACTGCTGAAAACTTCCTCCCCAGGTGACACCTTTCAACAACAATTATAAGTTTCTTAATGGTATCTCATAAGAGGATCCTGGAGTGCTTGGAAGTTCTCCTGTTTATCCATGATCCCTGGAGACACACAGTCACATGCAGGGGAAGAGTAAATACTGTGGTCTGACATTTGAGGGACTGGCAGCCCCACTGCATCCCTTGTTTTCCAAACCTAGTTGTTTCCTATTCCTCATTTACCCAAGTGGAACCATCATTTTACCTATCAGTAGAGAACTGGAATGAAACAAAACACCTGGGAAGAATTTCAAAACACACACAATTAAAAGAAGAACTGGATGCTAACACTGCATTCTGAGCATCCTACAACTCCTCTGAGCAAGTACAAGTCCATTCATCTGCACTTATTTGCATAACTCAATGCCAATTAACATCAGAATTTTCAAGGAAATATACTGATATTAATCCCACTCATGACAGGAGGGATTCCTACAAAAAATAGAGAATGTGAGAGTAACAGCCTTTGGGACAGGAGTCTCCTGTGTTTCTCCTTTGCTACCAAAATAATAAACCTTCTTTTTCCTTTTTCTCAAAACCGTGTCCTCATTATTAAATTGACCTTGATTGGCACTGGGGACAGGGACCAAGCTTTCACCTTCAAATTTTGGCACCCCAGATGGAACTTGAGAGCAGCCCCCACTCTAGCTCTCTTGGGCAGGCCTGGCACTCCAAGCAATGACACTTCCATGCTGAGGATGTAAAGGGAACTTTTTGAGAACTGACTACTGGAAAGATAGGAGAAGGGTGGGCATGCCTCAGGACCAGCCGAACCAGAGGAGCTAATCCTGTAAGTAAAGGGGGGGGACTGAGGAACTGCCAGCAGCTGCCAAAGCTCCTTTGCTTTGGGGAACTCCCGCCTTCCTTCCCTGCTCTGTAAGGATTGCTCTGCTTTGGTCTACTTTGAGAAAAAAGGAAACTGAATGCAGTAAAGTCGCAACAACTTGGCCATTTGGTAACCAGCTCCCCTGGTGTGCACATCCAGACCCTTGATTCTACATTTCTGAGTCCCCTTTGTGGGAGCATCTGGTCCCCTCATGGGCAAATCTGTGGCACTACTGGTGTAGGATTAACGGGTAAGCAGGTGTTGGGAATTTGGGGAGATTTTTCCTCTATCTGGTCTGTCGGTTTTAAAGGTTCCTATCTATCCATCCATGGCTTGGGGATCCTCTGTTTGTCATTATATCTTTTGTTTGTGTCTGTTTTTGGCCCTTTAAGACATGGGCAATAGTGTGTTGATACTAGATTATCTCTCGGGAAAGATCTTGGCTGAATGGGCCACCTATAGATGTAAATGTATCTAAGAAAAAGATGATGTTTTACTGTAACAATCTGGTTTTTGAATAGTGACTGAATCGTTGTACATTCTTGCAGTTGGGAGTTAGTTTGTCAGAGATAAAATAAATATTCTGTATGTGCAGGCATGGATTCAAATACTTAACAGTCAATAACTAAGTTGGATGCAAAAGGTGCTGCCTCTAATATGCTAGCACAGCAGGACACCAAAGCGGAATTGGAAAAAAAAAATTCTCTTCCTTTCAACCCAGTGCTGACAGTCTGAGCACCAGCACTTCTCAGCCTGGCCTCAGACAACTGCAAATCATCCTGCTGTGGGTCAGGAACACCAGTTCTAGAACTAGGGAAAAGGTGGGGGGGATGACTCAAGAAAGCTTCTTTGTCTATAGAGAAAATTGGCAAAAAGGACCTGGCCTCTACTCTGCTTTTTAGCCACTCTTTGCCCGAGTTGGAGAACAGGACTCAGTTTACACTCCTGCAGACAAATGAAACCTATGTGGGCTGTAGGTCTCACTGATTTTCTTTCTGGGTTCTTATCTCATGGGTTCAAAGAATGAAATCCATAAATGATGGCAGGGGACAAAAATTTAAAAATCAAATTAGTTTTAAATGAGGGGGTGGGGAGAAGTCAAAACTCCCTGCCATGTCAGGGAAAACTGGTAAAAAGCATTTCCACTTGAGTATATTTGCTTGGGGACCTAAGGCTTCTGGATAAAGGCACAGATCAGAGTCCATGCAGAACAGGCATTAAAAGCACAGGGACTATGCTGTACACATGTTGGGAAGGTATGAAATCCATTAGCTTGTCCCATGATTTTCTATCTGGATGTATGATTTTTAGTCCTTAAGTCTGAATTTTTTTGTAACCACCATTTGGGTCCACCCCCATTTCCATCTTCCTGCCATTCTGGGGACAAAGGAGTAGACTAGAATGCTTAACCTCAGAAGGTTGCCTTTACATTTGAGAAAACTTTACCTGGGGTCCATTACACTCACTGTCTGATGATTAACCATGGATCTTAATGGGGGGTAAAAATGCCAGCCAGTCATAAGGAATGAGGCAATAGGTTCCAGTATTAGTAAATAAAATTATAATCTGGGGACAAAATAGTCTCCACTTTTTAAGATCTGTCAGGATGCCTTATTTGGCCAGAGGACACTTCTGGATGCAGCCCTACCTATTGCCCAGAAAGCTATAGCAATGTCATAGCAATGCACAGTTAAAGGGCAAAAGGGAATAAAGGTTCTGAGGAAAATATGTGATGAAAGCCTGCTGTGGGAAAGGAGGATACAGAGGGAGGAGACAGACCTTGGATGATAGTGAATCAAGGAAGATACATAGTGTGAGTAAAGGAAGTTGAGCCTGGGGAAAAGATAGACATGAAGAGGCAGGAAAGATGTGCACAGGAAAGTGTAGGGAGTTGGGGAGGACAATGGGCATGGTTTAGATCATTGGCTAAAGCATATAGGAGAAAAAGACAGGGACAGCTCTGTGAATAATTGGTAAAGGGCATGCATGCAGTTCATGGAGCCGAGTTACCTGAAAGTTAAGCACTGTGGGGCTTTAGGGTGTTGGTCAGAGGACACAGGAAATTGGCAGAAATGTATGATTTGGGAGTAGAGAAATGGGAAGTGAGACACAGGTGACAGAGTATGTGGGAGCAGATGAGGTGAGGTGGTCCTTGCAACAGGAAAAACTAGGGTGCATGTCCAGAAGTTCACAGGATGTAGGGGCATGCTATAGACTAGAAGGGCTAATGGAAGTGAGGGATGATAGAGGTTTGGTGGATATAAAGGTGACAGGGGTAGAGAGATGCACATGATTTATTGATGGACAATGGCTCTCATAGGTCTCCTGGTTCCTTTTCCAACTGAGAGCATGACTCTGTTGTAGATTCTGCTCTCTGCACCTGCAGGGGACAACTTAGCATGGCACCAGATGCTCCAACTGCACTGACTGAGTCCAAGTGCAGAGGAGGAGAAGTAGCCAATAGCTGATCATCTGTCGGGATGCTCAGGGCTGTGCTTGTGGTTCAAAGTGGACATTTTAAAATGATGCCACACAGGGTCATATCTGTCCCTTCTGGGCCATAGTGCAGGACTTTCTGGATAAGAAATTTTTGATACTGATGACATATAAGCATCATTTCTTATGCTCCTTTGCCATTTGTTTAGCCCATTCCATTTCTTCAGAACTTTGGCCAACTTTTATCAGGTTGTTTGTTTTCCTGTTGAGTTTTGAGAGGTCTTTTAATAATTCTCATATAAAAGCCCTTTACCAGATATGTATCTTGCGAATATTTTCTCCTGGTCTGTGGCTTGTCTTTCTCTTTAAGAGTATATTTCACAAATCATCATATATAATTTAAACAAAATTCAACCAAATATTTTTCTTTTATGGCCTGTCCTTTTGTTTTAGTACCTACAAAGTCACTACCAACTCAAAAGACAGCAGGATTTTCCATGTCATCTCCTAGGATTTTTACAAGGTTTTTGTTTTACATTTAAATTTATGGGGGCATTTGAAGTTAATTTTTGTGAAAGGTATAACTATTAATGGTCCAGGAATTCATCAGGAACAGAAGGAATGAACTATTCCATATTCATTCATACACAGAAATGCAACGCAGCCATATAAAGGAATTAGTGCTGATAAATGAACCAAACAGATGAATCAAAAGCATTGCGCTGAGTGTACAGCTGTGGCACACTGAATAATGAACACAAAGATGTACACAGCCTAATGCCCAGAACCTGTGAATATATTACCAAACAAAAGGGACTTCAAACGGCCCTTTGTCCCTCCAGGTGCCTAATTTTGAAGCTACAGCCTCCCCGTTTGTCAGTCCCACATTTTCTCCATTTATGACTTATAGATTCTCCCAGTTTACAATTTCAGCCTTCCAGGTTGTCAACAACATAAATTTCCCCATCAGCCCCACAAACCCCCTTCTTTAACCCCCAACACCCACATCACTGAGGCCCAGGCCCTCGCCATGAGACAGGAAAGTAAAATGGGCCAAGGAAGAGGGGCCCTTAGTAAATGGAGAACTAAAATAAAACAAGTTATGTTGAACTTGCTTCTTCAGTTCAAGACAAACAGAACATTCAACATATATGCTTATCAAAGATCAGACATTACTTAAAACATCATCCACCTGAGGAAATTACAGAATGTGCCAACAAATTTGACCAAGGAACATTCTGATTCTGACTTCCAAGCAAAGAGTGGTCACCATGGGATCTGATTGTCACAAGACTCAATCTCCAAGGTGGCTTGTAAAAATCTTCCAAATCAGCAAAATCTAACAATGGCTCCCCACATAGGGTTACACCCTCAAAAATCATATGGAGAGAGCTCAAAGCTGGGCACCTCACTCATCTTTTGAGACAAGGGCTGCCCATACTCCAAGTGTAAATTCTGTGCATGTCCTTCAATAAATATTTACCTGTGCCTTGCTTTCTGAAGTGTCCTTCAATCCTGTGAAAAACATTGAGAACCTAGATGGTTTCCCTTTATATCCCAATCTTAGGGCTTCTCTGGATCCCTCTGTTGGCAAGCCCTGACCCTTATAGACCCATCCCAGCTCAGTGGTGCCAACGACCTTGCAAAACCAGCAAGCTCTCTAGGACTACCTCCCTGAGGTCTTCCTAGCATAGCACCTATGAACTGGAAGTTACTGCTGGTCATGTAAGAGTCTTTCTGGGGAGTTATGATCACATCTGTGGAACAGCCACCTTTCAAGGTGTGCAACAGGAAAGGTGGACTCTTCCATTGTGCACTTCAGCTGTAGAGTCTCCTGGGCAATAGTATCATCTGCAACATGAATAAAATCCACCTCCCACAGTAGCAAGCCCACTTCTTCATACCACAGCATGTTGACCATTGGCCTTCCTCCCCTCCCTCCTTTCATAGGGGCAGGAAATATGGGAAGGGTTGGTGTCCCAATCCAAGACCATTGGCTGGAGCAGTGGGATTGTAGCCAAGGGCAGGTCAGGGGTGGTTTGGACAGCAGAGTTTTGAGATGAAACTCAAGTTCTGAGTTGAAACAGAGTTTGACCTACATTCCTCCATCAGGAAGAAAGGGAGATGAGCAAGCTTCACTGCAGTAGGAACTTTTCTGCCTGACAGCCACAGGGCTTGGACAATCCAGGTGGTACAGAGGGCAAGAGTTAGAAAACAAGGTGGCACAATGGGGGCCATGTGACCACACCTGTAATCCCAGTGATGTGGGAGGCTGAGGCAGGAGGATCAGGAGTTCAAGGCCAGCCTCAGCAATTTAGGGAGACTGGATTGAAATAAATAATAAAGAGGATCGCAGGGTATAGCTGAACAGTGGACTTCTCTGGGTTCATTCCCCAGATAGGTGAGGGAAGAAGAAAAGGAGGGAGAAGAGGAGGAAAGAAGAGAAATGGAAGAAAGGAAGGGAGAGAAGAAAGGAAGGGTTTGGCAGCAGACATACATGTACCAAGCTTAGTTAGGTGTGCACTGGGCCTCATTCCGGGACTTCAAACTTGACAGGTTTTCTTCTGGTCCACAGGGCTCAGGGTAGGTCTAGTCCACCCAGCCTCTGACCAGTTCAGGGAATGAGCTGGCCTGATGCTGCCATGGCAGAATATAGATCCACAGAAATGAGACAGGATCCGGGGCCCAGGAGAATTTCCCATCTATAGATCACCCATTTGATTCTCTACTGAAGACTATCTGCCCTGAATCCATCCGATTATAATGTGTGTGTGTGTGTGTGTGTGTGTGTTTTGTGCCAGGGGGGGCCGGGGGGTGTTCAAAATTAAGTGTACACCAGAAAACCGTTATTAGAAATGCAAAAATATTGTCCCTCCAGCCCTGAGGTTCTAACTTAAGGAGGTCTGGAGTGTGATTCAGGAGTATGCACTCTTAAATTTCTCAGACTCCTGAGACAGAAAACAATTTCAAACAGTCCTGGAGTATTCTCTGTGGCTTCCTCCCAACATTATGTAATTCATTTTTCTATTTCTCTGCCTCACTAGGTGATAAGGTCCACAAAGGCCATTCCTTTGTCTGCTTCACCAGAGTGTCCCCAGCACCTTGCCCAGTGATGGCAGTTCACAATATTCCTGAAGGAATGAATTCTTCCAATAACTCAAGAATCCAACTGAATTCTAAGACAGCCACAGCATGGCAAATTTCCATTTCATTCATTCATTTTCCAAATAAAATATAAAGTTTCTGTTTTTCTGTGTAGGGAGAATCACATGAGCCAGCACTCTCCAAACTTTTTGGGATGACGGGAATGGGTCAGTTTTGCTCTGTTTGTGCTGTCCAGTTTAATAGCCATTACTTATGCACACCTACTGAGCACTTGAAATGTGGCCAGGGAACTGAGGCACTGAATTTCTAATTTGTTTTTAATACTTTTGTAACTTAAGTTGCCATAAAACTATAGTAATTTGCAATCTCTTGTACCTACAAGGCATGGGCATTAGAAAACAAATTGTTTGTGCTCTAATATGCATAAATACTATGAAAAGCAGTCCTTCCTCAAATAAGGTAAAGAAGGTGGTGCAGCAGGCACTGAATATCATAAACACATAGGGAAGATCCACGGAGTAGGAAAAGGAGGAGGGAAGAAAGATGGGAAAGGGGAGGAAATATAGAATGAATTCAACAAAATCATATTATATGCTTATAAAAATGTACCAAAGAGGGGCTGGAGTTGTAGCTCAGTGGTAGAGTGCTCACCTACCATGTGTAAGACACTGGGTTTGGTCTTCAGCACCACATAATTAATAATTAATTAAATAAAGGCATTGTGTACATCTACAACTAAAAATTATTAATATTTTTTAATGTACCAGGAGCCTGGGTTGTGGCTCAGTGGTAGAGCGCTTGCCTAGCATATGTGAGGCACTGGGGTTGATTCTCAGCACCACATATAAATAAATAAAATAAAGGTCCACTGACAACTAAAAAAAAAAAATTTTTTTTAAAGGTACCAAGGAAAATTTCACCTTCATGTATATATAGAAAGTACTGATCAAAATTATATAAAGCAGCTATGTATAATTACAAATACTATATATAATTATAATGCCCTAACAAAAACTACATTTTAAAAAGTAGTCCATCTCATCCCTAAAAGTGAGATGCTCTTTGAGCTATAAGCCATCGTGTCCCCTTGCATCAGTTGAATCATGTCCATGTCACCTATGCAGATGTTCCCATTCTCTGACTAGACCAGCTAGAGTGTGAAGATACCTCTTAAGGATGACCCAACTACCACAGTGCTCCTCCCGGGGACAAAATGTTTTGTTTTGTTTGCCTCTGTAACCTCAGCTCCCAGGACAGGTCCAGGTACAAAGGAAGCATGAGTCAAATACCTGCTAGGTGAACACATTAACTCACGGGAAGGCTGACATTTCACAGGTCCCTCTGTAGAAGTTCTACAAGTTTCATGTACTTTCTGGTTTTCAGTTACTCCTTCACATTGGTCAGGGGAAAGTGAGATGATGTGTGTGTCCTACATCAATTCTAACCCTTTTCCTTCAACCATCTCTTATGATTTTTCATTCATGGAAACATTCGAGATGTTGATTTAAACATTTCTGTACTTATTTTCTCCATTTAAATGAACTCAGTCGTCCTTCACTCATTTAATTGACAAAACAGAGTTGGTACCTACGTGTCTGAGTGGTCATCATCACACTGTGCCTCTGTAACAAAACAGCATTTAGGAAGGATGAATCTATCACCCTTTCCCAGCTTTGCATTTTATAGTTGCTCTCTGTATATAGTTTCAGCCATTTAGTGAACTAGAAATTTCCGCTCAATCCTTTCCCACATAGACTGAATCTGAGCCTCTCCCTATGGGTTTTCTGTGACATAAAATAATACGTAATTTATCACTGGGGGCACAACCATGTTCACCGCATTTGTGAGGTTTCTCTCCTGTGTGAATTCCATGCTGTCCCCTGAGGGTGTACATCTGGCCACTGGCTGTCCCACAAAGACCAAATTTCTGTTAGTGAGGAGCCCACTGACGTTCACTGCTGTCTGAGGGGCCTCAGAAGGCACCTGAGTAGTCACTTTGCTAACAGGGCTCTTCTCCTGGTGGTCATCACAGGTATGCAATGAGCTGTCTCCGTCTGCGGGGTTTTCCACCTTGCCTGAATCTCCCTGTTCTCCCCTTGTGTGTATTCTCTTGTGCTTAACCAGACAAGACATGTATGCAAAAGCCTTCCCACACTCGCTGCAGCCATAGGGCCTCTCTCCTGTGTGAGTTCTTTGATGGACAATGAGCTTTTGCCTTGTGGTGAATGCTTTCCCACACTCGCTGCATTTAAAGGGCTTCTCTCCCGTGTGAATTCTTTGATGCTTGATGAGCCCCGACCTCTGCGAACAGGACTTTCCACATTCGCTGCACACAAAGGGAGTCTTCCCTGTGTGAAATCTCTGATGAGCTATGAGGCAGGTCTTCTGGATGAAGCCTTTCCCACACTCACCGCATGTGTAAGGCTTCTCACCTGTGTGAATTCGCTGATGAACGATGAGGTTTCCTTTCTGGATGAAGCCCTTTCCACATTCGCTGCATATATAGGGCTTCTCTCCAGTATGAGTCTTCTGGTGTATGTTGAGCCGTGATTTCTTGAGAAAGGCTTTGCCACACTCGATGCATGTGTAAGGTTTCTCACCTGTGTGGGTTCTGTGGTGTTCTGTGAGCATGAACTTCCTGGAGAAGGCTTTCCCACACAGATGACATCTATGGGGCTTCTCACCAGTGTGGATGATCTGGTGATCAGTCAGCCAAGACTTCTTGATGAAGGCTTTCCCACAGTCGCTGCATACATGAGGTTTCTCTACTTTTTGAGTGTTCTGAGGCTTGGGACAAGTGAACTGAGATTTAGTGCTGATGAGTTTTCCATTTGCAGGGAATTTAATTTCAGTATGAAATTGTTCACAAGAAACATGGAGAAAGGATTCCCCATTTCTAGAAATCTCAACAGAGTTCTTTATTTCACAGTGTCTGCTCTGGTCAACCAAAGGTAAGTTTGGTTTCATACTTTTTTCATGTAAGTTAAATATACCATGCTTTTGCCTTAGTAGAAACTGAGGTCTGTGTTGATGAACAGAATTTTCAAAGGCACTGTGTTCATGCCACTGTACCATCCTGTTCACCTTGCTTTCACTCTGTAAGAGTTTTGGTAGATGATCATCAATTTCCCAGATTTCTATGAAAGAAAGGAACAGTGAGTTTTCCATCACCTTGATCTGGAATAAAAGCATTTTTAAAAATTACCTAGGAGAACAACAATAAGTGCTGGCAAGGATGTGGGGTAAAAGGCACATTCATAAAAAAAAATTGCTGGTGGGGCTGCAAATTGGTGCAGCCAAAATGGAAAGCAGTATGGAGATTTCTTGGAAAACTTGGAATGAAACCATCATTCGACCCAGCTATCCCACTCCTCAGTTTATACCAAAAGGACTTAAAAACAGTATACTACAGGGACACGGCCACATCAATATTTACAGCAGTACAATTCACAATAGCTAAACTATGGAGCCAACCTAGATGCCCCTCGCTAGATGAATGGATAGGGAAAATGTGGTATACATACATAGTGGAATGTTACTCAGCATTAAAAGAGAACAAGCCACTGGGATTACAGGCATACGCCATCACCCCCAGCAGTAGTGCCTTTAAAAGAGAGACAAATCACTGCACACAGAATGGGGAGGCAGAACTGCAGCCTGTCAATGTGAGGGTGGCCACCACATGCCCAGGTGTAGACATGGGGAATTTGAAGGATCCATAAACCTTGAGAAAAGCCTCGACTGCAGAGATGAATTTGGAAAATTTTAGTAAATAAAAAGAACAGGACAAGACCACCTTCAGAGAACATGTAGACTCAAAGACAAAGAAGATGCAGGGCCAGGCTGTAGCCATTCTACATTTAGAGTTTGGAAACTAGAAGTCCCCTGGAGGAAACCAGGTTGCTCATCCTGACAGGTGACACTGGTGACTGAAACAAGTAGCCCAGAGGCAAGTCAGGTTCTTCCATACTCGGCCCTGTCCCTGGGACAGCTCCTGGGTCCCTGTCTTGTAACTCGCCTTCTTCCTCCTGACACCACCTTCAACCAGCTTTCTCAAAGTGCTGTCTCACAGTGACTGAAAACTTCCTCTGGGTGACACCCTGCCCACTGGCCCAGCTGCAACACCCCGTCTATTCCCACAGAAGGAGGGCAGCAGTGGCCCTCAGGGAACATCATGACAGGGCAGAGGACCAAGCTGCAGTAACAGGATATGCTGCCCCTCTTCATGCTGCTCCTGGACAGGCAGGGTCCACCTTCTTCAGGTTCCCTGAGCCCTCAACCTGCCACTAACAGCATTATCCCACAATTCTACACTGATGTCGCCTGGCTTTGATCAGTGTCTGAATGGTCCACCTCTTCCTGAATCATGGTCATGGCAGCTTTACGTCGACTTGACTGGGAACAGGACAGAAGGATTCTTCTCCTGAGAAGAAAAGGGAAGCTAGAAAAATGTAGAACAGGAAATCTACAGTCTACAACTCCACCATCAACTAGAACCATACAATCTGCCACAGTCAGCCTGGCAATAAAGGTCACACTACCTGGAAATGTCCCCACAGTCCCACTGCCAGCAGGACACAGAGAACTCCCAGCCTGACCTCTTGTGCTCTCTCAGCCACCTCACTCAGTTCTCAACTTATCTTTCTTTCCTTTTCTGGTCCTGGGGATGGAACCCAGGGGTGCTCTACCAATGAGCTACATCCCCAGCCCTTTATATTTTTTTTAATTTTGAAACAGAGTTCAAAGTTATACAGGCTGGCCTCAAACTTGAGGCCCTCCTTCCTCAGCTTCTTGAGTAGCTGGGATTACAGGCTGTGCCACCACGCCTGGGTTCACCTAACTTCTAAGTGCCCTTGGCTCTTCTCTTCCTTATGGCTTTCCTCCCCTTTGGGCAGATTTCATCAGTAGAAAATTCCTTCTCCAGGCCTGGCCTCTCTCTGAATAACTTGGGCTAAATCCAATGCAGCAGAGGGTTCCTCTTGGACACTATCAAACATGTCTACCTTACAATCTCCTAAATTCCCCAACCCAATCTCCTCCTCTGTAGGTCGTCTGCACCACAGTAAACACAAGCTCCCCTTTTCTTGCCAACCTGGACAGCACCACCCTTCCTCTCTTCTATTCCCTCACCCTAGGATACAGGTAGACAGCTCGGGGTGAATTCCACCTGCCTCTGTAAGCAGACCCAGATACGATCAGCACCCAGTCCTCCTCCAAGTCAGCAGCCTGCTAGCTTCCAGCTCTCTTGGCTCAACAGCACCTCATCCAAGAGTTGGTCCCCTTCCTAAAAGATCAGCCCTGTACCTGCTTGTTCTGTCCCATAGCTCTGCTTTATTTTATCTCTTGGCTTCTTAGAATGACAGTGGCTCATCCACTCTTTGTTTTTCTTGATGCTGTTATCCTGTTATGCTGCTCAGCATACACTGAGCTACCAAAAGATAATTTTTAAAGGAAGGAATCAAGAAAGTAATCACATATGAAACACAGTGGGAGAATTTAGAATATGGATATCTGTGCGAGTAAGATGACACCCTATCAAAGAAATAACTGAAAGAAGAACTTCAATGTCTTGTGACAAGTAACATGGTTAATGGCGACTTAGTGCAATCAGAACTATAATAGGAAAGAAAACAAAAGCAAATATGATGGTAAGACCCATAGGAACTAGAAGAAAGCTCAGAATTAGTAAAAACACAAAGGAATCATTGAAAACACATAAGTTAGCATCTGATTCAGGCTGGACCTTCAAGTGCAGCTTGTGAAAAATATCTTTTCTAGCAGGGCCAACAGCCCACACCAGAAATCCCAGCTACGTGGAAGGCTGAGACAGAGGATTACAAGTTCACAGCCAGACTGTGCAACTTAGCAAGACCCTGCCTCAAAGTAAAAAGGGCTAGGGATGTGGCTCAGTGATAAAGCACCCCTAGGTTCAATCCCCAGTACCAAAAAAAAGAAAAGAAAGAAAGAAAAGAAAAAACGAAAAAATCTTTTCTAGTTAGAAATTCACCATGAACAGTTAGACCTTTCAATAAAGAAACACAGGTAGAGGACATGTGAGGTAATATCTGGATGGCTGGAACTTAGGATGCATAAAAAAAGGAGAAGCTAAACTCAAGAGGGTTTTCTTGGAGAGAAGATGATTCTCATTCTGCAGAAAGAGGAACTCTAGGCAGACTTGAGGTCCAAATCAGGAACTATCAGGGATTCACAGAGAACTAGATATCTGTGCTAGATGACACCAGGACATGTCAGCTTGGAGTCTGCTCTGGGAAGAGAAGGAGCTTAACTCATTAAAGTGAAAGAGATTTTAAAGGGTGAGAACAGATAAGAAAATAGAAAACACAGGGTTTGAGAACCTCCGAGTGAAGAAAGGCTTGGGGCCAAGGCACAATGAATGACAGGCTTCCTCAGGCAGCACCCCAGTGGGGTGGGAGGTGCAGCAGTCAGAAGTCAAGAAGGATTCAGAGTTTTCTCTCTGGAGAAGGACTTCGAAGGTGCAATTTCATAGCACCGGAACTGGAAGGGTATGAAGAAGGGAATATCTGGGACTTGAAGGAAGAATATTATGCCAACTTAAAGACATTGATTAATAAGGAACAATCAGCTCCCAGAAGAGGTAAAGAGGATGATTTTCTCCAAATCCCTCCAAACCGCAAAGAGAAGGTCTGCATTGAGAGGCAGACGTGGGAGGTGCTGCTCACCCCGCCTTCCACAGCTGCTCTCCCTCTCACCTGGACTGTTTGCCTCATGGATTGCATCTTCCACTGTCCTCGGTTCTCCTCCTAGCAACTTGGAGGGGGCATCAGGCTTGCTGGCTTGACACCCTGTTCATGGGAAATGACAGTCTTAGATTCATCAAACTGGGCTGTGATCTGTCAACAGGAGGTAATGTTCTATTTTAGGAACTCTGTAGTTTACATCTGCAAAGCAAAGGCTTTGCTCTCAGAAGGAAGCACAATACACCCTCTTGTCTGGAACCAGAGAGGGACTGAGACACCACAGGACCTCCAAGGCTTTCAGACACTGAGAAAGAAAAGGCCACAGACTGGCACCCACAGAATGGCACAGGGCAGCCATCCTCACCCACAGACACCAGGTTCCTGCAGTTCTCCAACATCACGTCCCAATACAGGTCCTTCTGAGCAGGGGCCAGGAGCTGCCACTCCTCCCAGGTGAACTTCACGGTCACATCCTCCAGCGTCAGCGACTCCTGTCAAATGAGGCAATTTCCTTGTGATGATATGGGATGTTAGTTTTTCTGCTCACTTCCCCTTCTTAGTCTGCATCTAGGTATTTAATACAGTGCGGGAATAAAATACTAATAAAATAGTCTATAATTATACATGAGTCATCTATTCATCCAGTGAGATGTTTCTATATTGGATGTGGGAGACCAACCTTATATGTGACTGGGTCACATTCCCCGGCTGGGTGTTGAGGCGCTCAGTTGCAGAGATGTGGCAGAGCTTTCCCACACTTCTTGGGCCTGAGGGTCGGTGTCTCGTGCATGGGTGTGTCTTGCTACAGCCCCATGGGTGAAGCTACGCTCACTTGTTCCTTTGTAATATAACCCCTTGCCCTGTATAGGATAGAATCTTCCATGGAAGTGCCTTGTGTATGTCCCCTCCTCTTACTGTGCCCTGGGGTGTGGCCTACCCAGGTGTCAGTCAACCTGCTGACAGTGGACATCATGAAGATACTCAGCCCCCTGAAACCTGACCCCTTGCCTCATTTGAATAGCTTCTCCTCAATAAAAGAGATCAGTGCATGCTCTCGCTCTCTTTCTGTGGACCCTTAAGGTCAGAGGAGCCGTCATAGCGACCCCAAAGAAAAAGGTATTTGTGTCTCTTGTGTGGTTATTTTGCACAGTCCAGTTAGCCCAGTTCAACTGGAGTGACCCCTGAGCCTTTTAGTCGCGAGAACAGAAACCCGGCAATTGGATAGTACTTAAATCTTCTTGCTAACTTAGAAACACCATCTTTATATATTACACATACACAATCATGAATTGCTTAACAACAGGACTATGTTCTCCAAAAATCAATCAGGCAATTTCATCTCTGTGCAAACAAAACTGAGCATACTTACCTATACAACCTGAGACAGCTACGACATCACCAGGCAATATAATCTTATGAGGCCCCAGTGGTATATTCTGCCATGCGACCAGCGCTGGCTTCATGAAAGAAGGTTCGATTCATAAGTAATTGCTAGGGAGTTTTAAATTAAAGAGACAAGACTCTCATTACCTTTAATACCAGCTCCGAGATGGCTTCTCCTAGCTCCTGCCACCAGTCACCTAATGCGGTGGCAAGGTTTACAGAAGAGACTAGCGAGAGAGAGAGAGAGAGAGAGAGAGAGAGAGAGAGAGAGAGAGAGAGAACATGCCAGGGAGTGGGCTTTTATTGGGGAACAAAAATTCCAGGGAAAATCCCATCCAATGAAGGTTAAGGGGGGCAGCATCCCAAGGTCAGGGGCGATGATTGGCTCTTCGGGGCAGTGGCCAGACACGTCTCTGCACGGACAAGCCCTTGGACCTGGAAAAGGGTGGGGAAGGCTCTAACACAGCTGTGTCTAAGCACCTCTCACCCAGCCAGGGAGGTAACTCAAATCACATGTGACGATGGCCTCCCGAAGTATATGAGGCCCATCACTGACCTAAATGTCATTATACAGACATGGGCCTACCATAGTTCTGACTGACCAGGTATAAATCAGAGGGTCCCTTGATCCCTTCCTTGACTTGATAATTTGTTAATTTATTTGTGTTGGGGGTTTGGGGGTACTGATAATTGAACCCAGTGGTACTTAACCACTGAATCATATTCCCAGTCCTTTTTGTTTTTGAGACAAAGTCCCTAAGTTGCTTAGGTCCTTTCTAAGTTGCTGAGGCTGAACTCAAGCTTGCAATCTCCTGCTTCAGTATCACAAATTGCTGGGATTATAGGTGTGCATAACCACACTCTGCTTATTCATGTTTTTATGGAAGCTTCATTACCTAGGCATAGCTGATTAAATGACTGGCCACCAGTGACTAAGTCAGTCTCCAACGTTCTATTCCTCAGAGGTAGGACAGGATGTGGGGTGGGGCTGAAGCTCCAACCCTCTATTCATCAGCTGGTTCCCCAGGCACCCAGGCTCTCCTTAGGAGCTTTCCAAGTCACCCCATCAACACAAACTCAGGTTGTAAATAACAGATAACTGTCACCTCCAGAGCTGTTTTAAGAGCCAAGGACATATAAATATAACAAAGAGACTCCTGTTGTTCTTATCATTAAAGAAATTACAATAGTTTTAGGATCTCTGGCCAGGAGTCAAAGCCAAAAAACAAAATATATATATTTTTACACAGCATGACAGTGACAGTGGCTTGGAGCTAACCCTTTTAAACATCATGCTACAATGCCCATAAAATAGAATGGCCAGTCACTCTGAACAGCAAAGAGAAATATCCATTAAAATGTAGAATGAGCACTTTCATCAAGTGACCTCTCTGTGGCCACCTTCAAAAATACTGAGATACCTTCATAAAAAGGCACTACCAGAGATGTGGTTGGCCTGTAATAACAGTTAGCTAAATGTCCAAGAGCAGCAGAACAGCTAAATCATGGCACACACATCACTTAGAGGACAGTGCAGCCAGTCAAAAAGGTGTTTAGGCTGGCATGTATTGACAAATAAAAGGCAAGAATAGTATAGTAAATATTGGCAGCATGATTCCTTTTAAAATGACAAAAGCAGGAATAAGAAACCATGCTTACACTGAGAACAGTCTGGAGGATGCAGATCACATCAAATCCCAGTTCCTTCTGGAGAAGATCAGAGTGCATTGTTCTAGCAGTACAGAAAATAACCTGTTTTTCTACTCAAGATCAGTGCACATCACACAAATGAAAACTAATCTCTCGTGGCAATGGCTGTCAGAGATAAATGCAAGCTGAGAGCTCATGTAACATACAGTACCCTCCAGTCACATTTGACATCCCACAGTTATTAATTTGGTGTGTATCTTATGAACATCATCTCCCATATACTACTCTGCCCATTTAAGCCAGCAGTGGGGGGGCATACATCTGTAGCCCCAGCTACTTGAAAGGCTGAGGTAGAAAGATCACGCAAGCCCAGGAGTTTGGTGTCAGTGCAGGCAACATAGCAAGACCACCATCTCAAAAAAAACAAGTAAGTTGGGCACAATGAACACACACCTCAATCCCACCTGCTGACTTGGGAGGCTTCAGCAGGAAGGTTGCTGAAGACAAGTCTCAGAAACTTGGTAAGACCCTGTCTCAAAAAATTAAACAGGACTTTGGTGTGTAGCTCAATGGTAGAGCACTCCTGGGTTCAATTCCCAGTACTATATTCACACACTCCAAAAAAGTAATAATAAGAGCAATAATAATAATGAAAATTGTACTCCTTTCCAGAGCCTACTTTTTAAATTTACACTTTTCAGATTAACTGAATTGGTATTTTTTTAAATAAACTTCTATAAATCTTTTAGGGAAGAAAGGAAAAGATGAGGACAACCCAAGTCAGTTACCTGGGACTGGATCATTTTCTTCTGTTCTTGGAAAATAGCTGGTCACTGGGATGCTCTGCCGTGGGGTCTTCCAGACCTGCTCTAAATGCTTATTCAGAAACCTCACTCTTCAATCAAAGCTGTCCCCAGAAATGCTAATGCTGCAATCTTGAAACTTCCTCCTTCATGTAATTGTTTTGGTTCTGAGGAGTCAGGACCTGTGGTTTGAAGAGAAAATCGGTTTGATGGCACATTTCCTCGGAGTCTGGTACTGTCACTGCCGCTAGGCACTCATCTTAACACAATGACCCCCTATTCCTGGCCATCCCTATATCTGGTGCCCCATGAGATTTGGTATCTCTGGCCATGAAGCCTCAGATTCTGAATGTGATAGTGCTGTGCCTTTATTCTATGAGGTTTAAGTGGGACAACTGCAAAAGGTGGGAAATGAGACCCATCCCAGCTCCACGTCTCGGGAGCAGGTGTGCTCAGATATCCCAGCTACGCACTGGAGTTGGCAGGATAGCTGAAATCCAGCTTACCACACACAAAAAAACCACTGTGCAGTCAAATGCCAACCTCAGTGGGAGAAGCAAACCGATAATTCTTTCAAAATATAATATTGGAGACTTTATCAATGTTATTACAGTATGGAAAAAATGTTATAAGCAGGCCCCATAAAGCAAATGATACTCTGCTAGGAGAACAGCACAAGGCACAACCACTTTGGAAAACATTTTGGCATCACTGCTTAGATCTAAGTGACACACACCCTGCAACACAGCAAAATTTCTTTCTGGGGTATACACCTTTAGGTATCTGTCGGGAGCTGCCACATAGGAGCTGAGCGATGGAAATGTGGAGACTGGCTTCCCTCAACTGGAGGCATGTGGATCCCCATTTCCACTCAGCAGAGGAGCACAGCTTTGGGAGTGGACATTACCCAGTGGGAGTGGGCTGCCCCTTGCAACATTACCCCTCTGCTTTATATGAATGGAATGTTCTTTCAAACAGCCTCACCCAATAAAGCCCACGTCCAAGGTATGCACCCTCTCTTTCTTGCCTACCTTGCCTCCTTTGTGGGAGCCGGGTAAGAGGGACCATCACTGAACCCAAAGAAAGAGGTACTTCTCTCTCTGTGTCTTTATTTTGTGCCAGCCCAGTTCTCCTGGAGAGACCTGATAAACCCAACCTAATTCTTTCCTAAGATTGGGAGCTATCTCATCACAAAGTTATGAAAAGTTCATTTCTGTTTTACTAAGATATTTGGCCTGACCATGTGACCCTGACTGGTTTACTCCTGTGTTGTGATATGTATCTATTACCCACCTCTCCCCAAATAAGGGCACATTTTTGAATCAGAAAATGCTTACAAAACTTTTCATTATAGTAATATGCATAATAACCCAAACTGCAAGCAATACAAATATAATTAGTCATAGGAAAAAACATTATTCAAGTAGTGGACCAAGACAGAAAAACTACAACCTTTGGTCCAACCTGCAAAAATGATTTTTACATTTTTACTTATTTTTTTAATTGGTTCTTTTTGGTTATACATAATGGTAGAATCCATTTTGACATAACTATAAAAGCACACAATATATTTTGTTCTAATTCAGTCCCAAGTATCTCTCCTCCCCACCCCATCCCATCGTTTTTACATCTTTAGAGACTTGTAAAATGAAAACAAAAAAGAAGCATATGCAAATGACCTTATGTAAACTGCAAGTCCCAGAATAATGACTGTAAGTTTGACTTTCCCTTGCTACAGAACAAGGAAAACAAACCTATGTGCAACAACATGAAACTCTCACCAATACTGAGAAAAAGCCTGTGTGCATACACAAAAAGATGCACTATGCCATTGATACACAGTTCAAAGTTTGCAACACTCAATTAATTATCAAGATGGGGAATAATTATATTCATTATGTAATTTACAAATTATTAAGGAAAGCCAAAAGTGCTACAGTAATTACCCATGACCGAGGACGGGAAAAGGTGCACAGAACACCACTAAGGTGCTGGCAATGGTCTATTTCTTCATGTGGACAATGACTGCTTATATATATGCTTTTGTGATCATTAAATTGTACATTTTAAAATATAAATTTAGAAAAATTAACCAAAAAAAAAGCTTAACAATACCAAAAACTTGCCTGAAAAGACCCATAAAATATATAAATTTGTAGAGAGACCAAAAGAGAGAGGGAAATGGTACTAACAAAAAAGTATAAGTATTAATGGAAGCCATGATTCGGACTGTTTTTGTCTTGAAATAATAAACCAGCACTTTTATGTCATCACATTTGAAGTCCTGGATGAAGTCACAACTCTATGATCCTACTGAGAAATTGATGTGACTCCATTTTTAAAAATAAATAAATAACAGCAGCTTCTACCTCAAGGCCTGTCCTAAGGAAGGGGGCGTGGCTCTTGTCCTTGGAAAAACCCACAGAGCAATCCTAAGCACATACCCACCCTTCTGAGTTGTTTGTAAATAACAGGAGAGGTCCGAGGTGCCAGGTATCCCTGACTCAGTTAGGCTAGGTGAGGACCCATAGCAACCCCCCTAGCAACCTCCAATCAGCATAAGACAGGGAAAAATACCTGGAATGCCAGATGACCCCTCTCCCCCAGTAATTTATGGTGGTTGATAACATGTTGGGAAACCTTGTAGTTAGCAGTACACCCCTTGTGGCCTAAACCAATCAGTTGAAACGAATCCCCCTCTTGTACTAACCAATCACCCCTACCCAACTTGTTCCCGCCATTGAATGTGCTAATCAATGTTAAGAGTTGTTGTTTGACTTTCCAGCGGTATGGAATGATTTGCTGTGTGATGTTGTGATGCATAGAGTACCCCCCAAAACCTATAAAATCTCACTGAACTAAGGGCCAGGACTCACTCCTCCAGACCGCTGCGTCTGAATGATTGTGAGTCCAGGCTGGAGCTTGCAATAAAGACTCTTGTGTGATTGCATCGGATTCGGTTCCTGGAGGTCTATTGGGGTCCGATGAATCTGGCATAACACTACCTCCAGGGACAATGTTAACTCCAGACAATAAAGGAGATGAATTTTATGGGTAGGCAACAAAACCAGAATGTGCACTGCCACCCTATTTTCCCAAGCTGTCCTGAAGAGTTGAGCCAAGCCAGCATAAAAATAAATCACAAACAGAACAAAGTAGGAAAAAAATGAAGGTTCTTTTCAGACATCATCATCAACATGAACAGGAACTGGACCTACCGCGACGGGGTAAGACGCAACGAGAACTGCTAATAAACTGCGCTGTGGTCACGCGGCCAGGTCCCTCAGCGTGACAGACTCTGTTGGCAGAGCAGAAAGCGCGGCTGTCAGGCGGGAGGGCAGCAGAGTCGCTACTGAGATCTGAAGGCGACGGCCAGGTCGGCCAGCAGCTACTGCAAAGGAACAAATGGGGCATCGCACGTGCCGCGCTCTGCGGGCCTCAGCCTCCCACAACCACTCCACTCCGCACCCGAGCTCCAGAGCCCTGCAGCGCCCTGCGACACGGGATCACGACCCGGAGCGGCGGGTCACAGCCCCGCGGCCAACGCCTCCACCTCACCGCCCTCCCACAAGAAGCCCTGGCTGTCCCGCCTACGTAAGGCCTCCAGGGAGACAAGACTTCCAAGGATAAAAACACACACCGACGTGACTTTCTCCTCACCTACGGTAGTCTCATCGCTGCAATTCCGCGACCGGCTTCTACTTCAGGACCCCCACTCAGCGCTCCGTCAGCCTACGGCGGCCGAGGGGGGTGTAAACTCTCTAACGGCGCACTGACGCAACGGACTTCCGGCGCTTCCCAGTAGGTAACATGGCCGCGCCCAGGTGGCCCCTGGCCGCGGAGGTGGCCATGTTTGCTGACGTATTCGGGCCAGAAGGCAGAATTGCCTCATTTCCTAGGACTTCTACACTGGCAGAAAATGTGTAGCGTGAAAACGGGTCGGTATCCAGGGACTTAGGGCCGACTGAACTGCGATCAGCGGCTGTCCAGCATAGTAGTATGTCTGCCCAGTAGGAGGTCGGGTGCCCCTGAGCAGAGAGCCGCCTCTGGAAAGGAACAGTGACGTCCCTAAGCAGACACCCCGGGAAGCGTGGTCGGGAAAGGGCTCGCGGGAAGCGGCTTTTGAGAACAGAAAAAGGCTGAGACGAGCTGGCAGAGTGGGGCGGCCACGCCCCAGGGGTGCAGCTCGCGCGAGGCCTGGAGCCCATGGAAGGAGTTGGGGAGCAGGGTCCGGAGGTGTGACACGAGTGTCCAGACCATGCGGTGGAACAGACTTTTCAGCTATGTTGTTGGGATACTTGGATATCTACATGCAAAAAACAAGTAAGAAGGTAAGCAGAAGAGGGACATAAAAGTTTAGGTGGCCCACGACTATAATTCCAGTTACTGGGGAGACTAAGGCAGGAAAAATATAAGTTTGAGGCCAACTTGGGCAACTCTACCCTGTTTCAAAATAAAATTAAAAGGGCTGAGAATGTAGCTCGGTGGTAGAGCGTGAGGCTCTGGATTCAATTCCTAGCAATACAGGGGGTGGGGGTGGGGATAAACGGTTAAAGTTTACAGGAGAACAAAGGCAATAACCTTTATGAACTGGGTTAATTCCAAGACAAGACACTATCGGATGAGCCGTGAAATTAATAAATAGGAATTAAAAAAAAAAAAAAACCTATTGTGCTGTTAAGCATATTTAAGAAAGTGGAAAAAGCAGCCACAGATTGGGAGTAAATATTTCCACATTTGTCTGACAAACCCACCACCCAATTACTCTTTTGATGGAGGTCATGAGATTTTTCCAAAAATTGGACTCTTTTGAGAGTAGGACAACCCTATAAACTTTAATTTGTATCTGAGTTAGACACTTTATACATATAAGAATAATAATATGTAAAGTGTAACTGTCACGGGAGAAGATATTTCTCCAAAGAAAGATATGAGGACTTAAGAGAAGGAGAAACTTGACTGAGGACCAGAAGGGTTCTTGGCACATATGCCAGAAAAGAATTTCAGCACACACCAGTCCTAGTCATAGATGGAGGTTTATTTAGGGAAATAGATACATGTTCAAGGAAGAATAAGAAGTGCCATTGCAGTACAGCACGGAATAAGCATTCAAGGGAAAGTGCAGGCCATCTCCCCAGAGACCCCCTTGATGTGGGGTGTTGATACTCATAGAGGACAGTTGCTAGGAACTGGAGTACAGGTGGAGCCAGGGTGGAGCTGCATTCTCCTGGTGCTTGCACTATCCTCATGTTACCAGGGCATGGGTCAAGGGCACATGGTTCTTGGGTGCTTTCTGCACTAATGGTTTGGAGTCCTACTCAGGTTTTAAGATGGAGCAGGGTAGACACATTTGATCTCTGCACAACTGGAAGAGTTGTCAGTTCTAGGAATGAGAGGGTGGTGATGCAGTTCTATGTACATGTTGTTCCAGGTGATGACTCCCAAGCCAGCCTCCTGGAGAATGACAGACTGTCAATACTGCCCCTATCCATTCCACTTGAGGCCTAGATATGTGATCAAGACCATCTAGGCTACTCAGGCCAGGGCAGGCCAGCTCAAACCAAGCAATCCACCCTTCGACCTGCACAGTTGAACTAATAATGTTCCTTATCTGTAGCCTTCAAGTTTGTTGTGTTAGCCAAGTAAAGTTTGTATAAGGGGGCAAATACCAACTTTTATGAATATAAATATACACATGCAGGTGATTATGTAAATCATGGACATCTCATGAAAACAATCTGCAGACTTAATACAGAATTTCAACATATATAAGTAAGGGTGATATTTATTTATGAGGAAAAAACAGAACATTCTACAAAAGAACAAATCTACTACTATACACACACATGCATGCACACATGCATGCATGCAATTCAAAATTCTCAGTATAAAACAATTTGGTTTTCTCTTTGGTTTAAGACCTGAATCATAGGAATATCAAAGGTTGGCATATTTGTACTGCAATCAGTTCTCAATTATTTGAATTTGTTATCTCCAGTTTGATCTAAAATTCAGCTATGTTCCTCCCACAGGCAATCTCTCCTCCCCTGCTCTGCACTCTACACAGTGCTTTGTGTTATGGAAGCTTGGATCTGCCGAGCACCTATAATGTGTCTCCATGTGCATACTATACGAGATGAAAAAATATTTAAATATTGACCCCAAAAATATATATCCTTGCAAATAAACAGTGAAAAATCATTAATACTCAGGAAACAATGCTATCAATAAAATGAATTGAGTGGGTTTCAATGATAGAAATAGCAATAACTTAAAGTCAATGATAAATATATTTAAAGACCTAAAGAAAACCATGTTGAATGGTTTAAAGGAAAATAAGAGAATAATGGCTTGATAGAAAATCTTGGTAAGACAGAAAATGTAATAAAGAACCCAATAGAAATGCTAGTGCTGAAATAACACAGCTGAAATAGCAGAGTCTACAAAAGTAAATGAGTTTAGCAATACGATAGGGTGCAAGTTCAACACACAGATGAAATCATGAACATAGGAACATTTACAATGGCTCTATAAATGATACCTTCAGGTAAACTTCTTTTTTTGTTGTTGTTATTTTTGTTTTATTTTGTTTTTCTTTTTTTTTATTGTTGGTTGTTCAAAACATTACATAGTTCTTGATATATCATATTTCACACTTTGATTCAAGTGGGTCAGGTAAACTTCTAACATACAGGATATGCATAAGCTAAAAAGCTTTTTATTTATTTATTTTTTAAGAGCAAGAAGAATTAATCAAATGGCAAGACAGCATTGTTGGGAGCTGCTCTGGACAGAGCTATGTACACACCTTTAAGTCCTGAGTAAAGGAGTCCTGAACAGTTATTGCACTCCGCAATACATTGGGCTTTTACCCCTCTTGGATAATGAGGCTGGCTCCAGGAGTAGGTGTCACCTGGTGGGGTTGAGATACACTCACCTGTTCCTTTGAAATCCTACCCCTTTGCCCTTTTAGGGAAAGAATGTTCCATGGGTCCTCCCCTTGTGTGTCCCCTATGTAACAATAAAGAATTCCAGTGGTTCTCTCTCTTTCCACTGACCCCTAAGGTCAGGAGCCATCCCTGGATTTTGAAAAGGTACTTCTGTGTATTTGCGTGTTTTCTTCGACGTTTTTTTAAGTTATTGGAGTAGTCAGGTTTTGTGACCCCAGCATAGGTTGCCAGCTTGGATAGATGGCAGTACAGCATGTCAGAAGACTCGGTGCAATAAAGATGCCAGATCAACCCACTTTCATTTAATATATTGAATGCAATTTCAATAAAACAGAAAAAAAATTAAATATACACAAGCATATTTTAAAGTTTATCTGGAGGGCTCAGTGCCGCCGGCTGCCAAGGCTTCAGGGCCAGTGCCAGCACCCTGCAGCACCTGGCGGAGCAGCTCAAGCTGGAGGCCACCTGGAGGACCAGGGTCTCTCAGGCTGCTGCAGAGCTGCAGCAGTACCACCTGCAGAATACCTGCAAGGATGCTCTGCTCGCCAGTGTTCCAGCCAAGAGCAACCCCTTCATAGAGCCCAGATCCTGCGCTTTTTCTTTAGGCAAATGACTGGGGTATTTCAGACCTTCCTGTGTCCTGCTCTTACAGACAAAATTCTACAGTAATTAATGATTTTCTACAAATATGGAAACTGAGTGAAGAAATAGAATTGCTTCAAATAATAATTGCCTGGTTCTCCTGGTGAAGTGCTTTGTACTAAGATAAACAACGTTACCACCAAATATACCAACACACACTGCTTTAATGAGTTGTTGGTGTTGCTATACTTAGGATATCATGTATGTTTTATTTACTGGATGTTTACATTTTAGGAAGGAAAACACTTGTTAAAAACAAATGGAATATTTGTAATTTGTTGTTCCTAAGATTTTTATACTATAATAAAATTTGTTCTATCATAAATCTGCAATTACTAAATGAAGACAAGAAAGCATAAAATTGGGAGAAGGAATAGACTTTACTAATCAAATAATGCCTTGATTCTTTCTAAATGAGAATATTGTTTTATTTTTAACACTAAACACAAATGTTTCATAGTAAACTTGTTTAGAAAGATTTATGTTATGATGTATATTAGGTTGCCCAATCTGTGTATGAAACAGATTTCATCTCTTTTTAAGTTCCTTTATAGTTGTGATTGCACTTTTAAAAAGATACATTAAAACATTTAAAAAATGTTTAAAATATGGCGTACATACAGAACATTACAAATGGTTAAAAACAAAGAAAAGTGAAATAGTTATGACCTAAAAGAATTCTTCATGTCATGTCTTTACTTTCATAGTGTGTCTTTAATTTGGGATACCTTGAGAAGGACACTTTGTGTTTGTAATAGTCTTCGAAGATCTTGGGTATAAATTCTGCTTAATTATTATGGATGTAATGCTCTCCTCTATTGTGATGTATGTAAGAAATAATTTAAAATTAATTTTTTTAAAAAAAGAATTAGAAAAAAATTAAATAAATTCTGCTTAATTAAAAAGTATGGAAAGACAAAGAAACTGGAATAAATAAAACTATTTTCAAAGAAATTTAGAGCCAGAAGAATATGATTCCTTGGTTTTATGACTATCACTGCTATAGTGTGTTATTGGTGAAACAACAAATTCATCAATGGAAGAGTCAAGAAGTAGTCAAAAATATAACCGCTTTTTACAAATGTGCAAGGTCAATTTAATCAGAAAAAAACAGTAATTTCAAAATAATGTTGGACCAACTGTATAATCATAGGCAAAGAAAATGAAACCTAACCCTCAACTCCTATCCAAAAACTAACTCCAAATGGATCATAGTTTAAAAATATTAAAAGCAAAACTACATTTGTAAAGTATAGGAGAAAATAATCATGATACAGCTAGGTAATGAATTCTTGGATATGACATCAAAATTATAACTCATAAAAGAAAAAATGTAATTTGGATTTAATATTTTTTTATATTCCTGAGGAGGGAAAAATGATACACCACATCTGGGGAAAATATTTGTAAGTGATATGTCCAAGAAAATTGTGCCTAGCATACAAACCTCTTTAAAAACATCTCTAAATGTCATACTAGGGAAACAAACATCCTAATTAAAAAATGGATAAATGATTTGAGTAAACACTTCATCAAAGATACTTGGAAGGCAAACAAGCACATGAAAAAATAATATCAAAACCATTACAGAAGCTGGGTACAGTGGCCCACACCTGTACTCCCAATGATCTGGTAGGCTAAGGCAAGAAGATCTCAAGTTCAAAACCAGACTGGGCAATACCATGTCAAGAAAGAAAGAAAGAAAAGAAAAAAGAAGAAAGGAAGGAAGGAAGAAAAGAAAAGGACAAGGGATATAGCTTGGTGGTAGGACACTTGCCTAGAATGTGCAGGACTCGGGGTTTAATCCCCAGCAAAGCAAAACACAAAAGCAAACAACAACAAAAATTAGAAAAATATAAATGAAGGTCACAATGAGACAGCACTACTTACATAATACAATGACTAAATAACACATGGTGACAATAGCAAGTGCAAGAATGTGGAACTATCAAACTTCTCATATATTCCTGTTGGAAAATTGAACAGGCACTGTGGAAAATAGTTAAGCAACATAAAATTGATTCTCACCATTGGACCCAAAATTCAAACTCTTCATAATCATCTTAGAGAAATGAAATTTGTGCTTACACAAATGCTTGGTACGAGAATGTTTGCAGCATCTTTATTTATAATAGCAAAAAAATCTGACAAAAACCCTAATGTCCATCAGTGGGCAAATAGAAGAGTAAACTGTTGTATATCTATATGAAATATATTGCCCACCAGCAAAAAGAACAACCAGGATGGGACTGAGGATAATTTGCTTAAGGTTAAATAATCAAATCTCAAAAGGTACATGATGTGTGCTTCCATTTGCATAACATTGTACAAATGAAAAAATTACATATATTAACAAATCCGATTGCCAGGGGTGAGGTGGGGAGCCAAGCAGGATGGCATCCCTATAAAGCCAACTACTCAGGACACCAAATTGGCTAGATTACAAATATTGAGGCCCAACCTGGGCAACTTAGCAAAAACATGTCCCAAAATCAAATAAAAATGGTTGGGATAGCTTAGTGGTATTGCACTTGACTAGTATGTGTGAGGCCCTGGGTTTGGTCCTCAATACCTTCACCCCACCACACCCCAAAATTTAAAAAGTTGGGAAAGTATGCAACTATAAAAATGCATGTAGGAATTTGTTGATGTGACTTTATGTTCTTGATTGTTGTTGTTACATATCATAAAATGTCCCTAAACTTAAAAACTAAACGTTAAAACTGGTGATCAAATAAATTCTATTAGTCAACAGTATGGCAATAATTTCCTGTAACTGATAATGAACAGTGGTTATATAAGATGTTATCTTTGGGAGAAGCTGGTTAAGGGCCTTTAGAAACTCTTTATTTGGGTAAGATTTTTGTGAATCTAAATTTATTATTTCTGAATAAAACTTATAAAAGTTTTGATTTTATTCTTTTCTTGTACTTGGAATTGAACCCAGGGGCACTGGAAAGCATCTGCAATCCTTTTTTTTTTTTTTTTTTTTTTTTTTTTTTTTCCTGAGACAGGGTCTAAGTGTATTGCTGAGGTTGGTCTCAAATTTGTAATCCTCCTGCCTCAGTCTCCCAAATCACTGTGTGCACCACCATGCCTGACTTTATATTGACTTCATACACTGCTTAATACTACTTATAAAACTTTATTAATATATTCCATTTCAAGTATTCTAAACTCAGAATCAAAGAAATGGACGAGCTTATCATGTAATGACAGACTTGTAACAAAAAGACTTCTTTCATCATTTTGCTAGGGCTTCTTTCCCTCATTATCATCTCTTACTATTTCACAAAAGGTTCTCTACATTCAAATATATTCATATTGATTTCCTCACAAGTGATGCAATAAAATACTACAAATCCTGCCATAGAAAAGCATTTCGCTAGTGTCGACACTCTCAATCTATTAAGGTCTTAATTTCTGGGCAAAGGCTTTCCCGTGTTTATCATATTTCTATCAGCTGATATTTCATCCATAACCTATGATAATTTTTTGATAATCTTTTTTCAGCATTGGGGAATGAACCTAGGGAGATGAAGTCTCTCTCTCAACTGAAGGTTTCTGTAGTCTGTCACATTTGTGGGATTTTTCTGAGTACACACTTTTTAGCCATCATATAATGTCCTGAAATGTTTTTATGAAGACTGATTGTATATAGTTGTTTCATATAATATGGAACATGAATGAGGTAATTGATCCTAAGTATACCACCATATACTCTACAACAAAGTTATTATTCTTTGTTTTTATTATATAATCTCAAGGGCTTACAACTAGCAGAATAACTACCTGTGAATTCTCTTGTGTTTAACAAGGATTGACAAGTGGGCAAAAGCTTTCCCACAATCACTACATCCATAGGGCCTCTCTCCTGTATGTTTTCTTTGATGAACATTAAGCCCTGACTTTGTAGTGAAGGCTTTCCCACATTCACCGCACTGATAGGGTTTCTCTCCTGTGTGAATTCTCTGATGGGTAATGAGGTCATTTTTGCGCAAAGAGAATTTTCCACATTCAGTACATGCAAAGGAAGTGTTTCCTGAGTGAAATCTCTGATGCTGGACAAGGCATGTCTTCTTCCTGAAGGCTTTACCACACTCATTGCATTTGTAAGGCTTCTCTCCAGTGTGAGTTTGCTGATGTATGCCTAGAGTACTCTTCATGGTGAAGCCCTTCCCACACTCATTGCATATGTATGGTTTCTCACCAGTGTGAATCCGCTGATGGGCAATAAGCATGCTTTTCCCAGTTAAGCCTTTGCCACATTCACTGCATATGTAGGGTTTCTCTCCTGTATGAGTGCGCCGATGTACATTGAGGTGACTCTTTTCAGTAAAGCCCTTTCCACATTCACTGCATTTATAAGGCTTCTCTCCTGTGTGAGTTCGCTGATGTCCTATCAACCGGATCTTTGCAGGGAAACCTTTTCCACATTCATTGCACACATAAGGTTTCTCTCCTGTGTGAGTTCGCTGATGGACAATCAGGCGGCTCTTCACAGTGAAGCCTTTCCCACAGTCATTGCACATATATGGCTTCTCTGCAGTGTGAGTTCGCTGATGTACAATTAGGTCACTCTTCATGGTGAAGCCTTTTAGACATTCGGTGCATACATAGGGTTTCTCTCCTGTATGTGTCCGCTGATGCCTGATGAGAGGACTCTTCAAGGTGAAGCCTTTTCCACACTCATTGCATGTATATGGTTTCTCTCCTGTGTGCGTTCGCTGATGTACGATGAGACAGTGCTTCATGGAAAAGGCTTTTCCACATTCACTGCATGCATACAACTTCTCTTCTGAATGAGTTAGCTGATGTGTGATAAGACTGTTCTTCAAGGTGAAGCCTTTCCCACATTTATTGCATATGAAGGGTTTCTCTCCAGTATGAGTCCGACTATGTGCAATAAGACACCTCTTCTCAATGAATCCTTTTCCACATTCACTACATATATAAGGTTTCTCTCTTGTATGAGTTTTCTGATGTGTAGTGAGACTGAACTTTGTAGAGAAGGATTTCCCACATATGCTGCATCCATGGGGTTTCTCTCCTGTATGAGTACGCTGATGATAAATGAGTCGACACTTTTTAATGAAGGCTTTCCCACATTCACTACACTTATAAGATTTCTCTCCCATATGTGTTTCCTGATGCACACTGAACTGTAATTTTTTGAGGAAGGACATGTCACATTTGGTGCATTCATACTGTTTCATCCCTGTATGATTTCTCTGATGTTCTGTTAGCTGGGACTTTCTGGAGAAGGCTTTCCCACATTTACACCTGTAAGGTTTCTCTCCTGTATGAACTCTCTGATGATTGATGAACTGAGACACCCTGACAAACACCTTCCCACACTCACTGCATTCATGTATTTTCTCTATGCTATGAGTTCTCTGTTGTTTAATGACCAGGGCCATATTGGTAGGTTTTGCACTTAAAGGAAATTTAATTTCAGTATAAAACCATTCATGGTTTGCATGGATGTATATAGATTTCCCATCTCCATTAATCTCAGTAAATTTCTTTAGGTCACAGCTTCTATTCTGGCTTTTAAAACTTAAATTTGATTGTAAAGGTTTTTCACAATTTTGCTTTAGTGGAAAATGAACTTTGCTCTGATTAACAATATTTCTGAATGCTTTATGTTCATGGCCTTGCTCCAGATTCTTCTGAATGCTTTGATTTTTCAAGTGATGTTGCAGAGGATCATCAACTTTTCTGATTTCTAGGAAAAACAAGAACAGTGAATCATTTCATCATCTTCTTCTGGCATTAAACTGTTTTAAAAAATGCTGTGGTGTGATGTAATTCTTTAATGACAACCCCATATAAATATAAAAAGGTTTTGTATATAAATATCCCTATCTCTTGCACCTTGGTAAAACACAATAACATACACACATTATAAAATAAAGTCAGTAAGTGTACATGCTTTTCCCAGTTAAGCCTTTGCCACATTCACTGCATATGTAGGGTTTCTCTCCTGTATGAGTGATTTGTAGATGTGACTACTTTCTAAATAAATCTTTACAAAATGTACAGATAGTAAAAATATCAACAAGGTCACTTTTAGCAGGAACCCCAGAATTTCACAGGACACCATCAGACCATGGAAGCTGGAGACATACCAGACCATATGAGGCTACATTTATTTACTCTACAATTAATTTGCTGAACAACAGCTATGTGTAAGTTGCCATGTTTGTGTTTTGAATATGCAAATATATTTCTTAGTTTCATGAAAGTTTAGTTCTAATTATGGAAAAAGAATTCAAAAGAAATCAAAGAAATAAAGATTGTAACTGTCATCTGTAAAATGTTATGAAGGAGGCAGTAAGATATACAGGAGGAACAGGAAATCAGAATATAACTAAAAGAAGAAAAGCTAAAGTTTAACTTACTAATAGTTTCAATGGGAGGAGTGGGAAGAGGATAAGTGAAAGTAAGGGCACAACGATTACTGTAAAAATCACATGGCTTCAACCACCACATTAGGGGGAAGCCTCATGATGAAATAAGAAATATTACTGAAGTCTGGAATGAATGGAAAATCTAGTGTACATTAAGAACATAAAGTTTCAGATGATTACTATACATCCAATATAAAAATGAAGAAACTGATTGAATATGTAAGTACTGAAAAAGGTCTTATCTGGAAATATCAATGTGGATATCATCAATCCATACAAAATTATTCAAAGAAAGAACTGGATAAGATTGTACTCAGAAACAAGTAGAAAAAGAGAAGGTACATGCATAAGGCCTACAACTTAGCCATGCCTATATAAACAGCTCTGAAATTTGTTAAGCCCACCAAAATAAACCAAATACTGACTACTATGACCAGGTGTACCTCCAGAGATCCAAATATATGGAATAAATACCCCACAGTGACAAGAATGTAAGATTCTCTAGCAGGGTGCAGTGGAATTTGCCTGTAATCCCAGCAACTCATGGGGGAGGATACAAATTCTAGGCCAGCCTGAACAATTTATCAAGACTCTGTCTCAAGATAAAATAAACGAGGCTGGGGATATAATTCAGTGGTAGAACATCCCCTGGGTTCAATCCTCAGTTCTGTGGGGGAAAGGGGAGTGAAATCCTCTTGAAAACTGATAAAAGGGTAGATATGAAGTGTTCTCACCACAGAATTAAATCAGCACTTTTTTTTTTTTTTTTTTTTTTTTTTTTTTTGGTGGTGGTGGTGGTGGTTTTGGAGATTGAATCCAGGGCCTTGTACATGCTAGGCAAGTGTTCTATCACAAGTTACATTACCAACTCCCAATCCCACTCCTTCTGGGTCATACTCTCCTGTGTTGCTACAGAAGGAATAAACAATGATGGACAATTAAGTGTTTGCAGGCATGGGTTATTCCATCACACACACCAAAGAAAGCACTGGCCTTGACTGGCTCCTGAAAGGTAACTCTGGGTCCCTGGAATATTTGTCTAACAGAGTGTCTTTTTATGCCTAAGGCCTTGGGTCACACCAGATGTGTTTAATGCTAGCAATGTTATTAATGTTGGACACCCTGTTTGTGTATGCCTGAGGCTTTGGACCCAACTGTATCATTTTGATTCTGGGTAGTTAGACACCATACCTGGGTGAACTTCCCTGGTAGGCAACTGTGGGAAGCCGTTCTCGCACGTGATTGGGCACCTCCCTGACTGGGTGTGAGGCGTTCCGGCCAAGCTGTGTCAGAACTAATCCCCACCCTTTTTAGGTGCAAGAGCCCATCCGTGTGGGGGTGTGACTGACCATTGACCCTGAGACCAATCACTGACCCTGACCTTGGAATGCTGTCCCCCTCAACCTTCATTGGATGGAATTTTCCCCTGAATTTCTTGTTCCCCAATAAAAGGCCACTCCCTGGCATGCCCTCTCTCCCTCCTGTTAGTCTCTTGTGTAAACCTCGCTACCCCACCGGGTGGCTCAAGGCAGGAGCCAGGGAGGGCCAGCTCAGACCTGGTCAAGAAAAAGGTAAATTGAGTTTATGTGTGTTTATTTTGATCTCACTAGTTAACTTCTATGCTTAGGACCTCTAGTATGAAGCTAGCGTGCTGGTCGCGTGGCAGAGGCAACACTTCATATATGTTGTCAAAGATTATTGCTGGAAAAATTCAGCACTGGTTGCAGAGATTCACTAATAGAAGATGACTGGTAGCTTGAGCCTAGTTTTGTTTTGTTTTATTTTTTATTTTTTTGCAGAGGCCAAGGTTTCATGTATACTAGGCAAGTGCTATACCACTGAGCTATTTTTAAAATATTTTTTAGTTGTAGATGGATAAAATACTTTTATTTTATTTATTCATTTTTATGTGGTGCTGAGGATCAAACCCAGTTCCTCATGCATGCAGGCGAGCGCTCTACCACTGAGCCACAACCCAGCCCCTGATGATTTTAATTTGTATCACTTTACTGTCAAAGACTGTAACATGAGTATAATAGTTCCCTCCCATCCTAGCTAAAGCCTACATTCTAAATAGTAGAGAAAAGAATCTATTTTAAAAAGTAGTGATGCTATGCCACTCCTCTATTCAAAACCTAGTGCTTTCTCAACTCATTTGGAGTAAAATCAAAGTCTTGAATGCCTTAGATAGGCAATATGTGGCCCATGGACCAGAACCTCCTGCTACAACCCAACTATCCTTATTTCTACTTTCCCTACCAGCTTCCTAGAAGTTCCACAAACTCCCTCCAGTCTCAATGTAGTAGAACTTCCACTGTTTCACATCTGGAACACTCCACACCCAGAGAGCCTACTTACTTCTGCCATCTATCTACTGAAAGGCCCTTAATAAGGAGCCATTCCCACCCACCACCCTAAAAGCACAGTGCCATGTCCCAACACCTACATTCCTATAGCTGCTTTAATTTTCCTTGTAGTATTGTTTTATCCCCCAAACATATTTATATATGTTTACTTTTTATTATATAGTCACCTCCATTGAGAATGAAAGCAATGTGAAGAGGAACAAGAATATTTTTTCCTCAGGTTTTTTTTTTTTTTTTTTTTTCGTATTGGTGTTAGCAAGGCTTTCAACACACAAGTTTTAAAGAAGTAAATTATGAAGGTAATCACACATATAAACCATATTGATAAGAATTAATATTTAAAAAGAAAAACCAAAGCTCTATAATTAAGATGGTATTGTGGCATTGAGATCACTTGAAGAGAAACAGCAATCTTCCATGATAAGAAAATAATCATATTTTTATAGTCTAACAAGGAATAATCTGGAAATGCAAGTAAAAAAGAATTTCATCAATTACAAAACCAAAAAAGAAAACTCTACTTAGAAATATATTTAACAAAGGAAGTGCCAAACTTACACTGTATTCTGAAAGCTACAAAGCAACCCTGAAAGAAATTAAAAGCCTAATTAAATATAAAATGTCCATTGCTCCTGAATCAGAAAATTTAATAAGATTAAAATGGCAATACTCCCCAAAGTGGTAAACAGACTTAGCATAATTCTACTGAGCTTTTAAGGAGAAAATCACAAGCTCATTCTATAATTCAAATTGAAATTCAAAGGACTCAAACAAAAAATATATATCCTTTTTTTTCCTTTTCTGATACTTGGGATTGAACCCAGAAGCACTTTACCACTGAGCCACATCCCCAGTCTTTTTCATTTTTATTTTGATACAGGGTCTCACTAACTTGTAGAAGCTGACTGTCTCAGCCTCCCACAAGTTTCTGGGACTACAAGTATGAATCAGCTCACCTGGCTAATAAAAACAACCTTGAAATAGAGGAACAAGTTAAAGGACTCAACTTTCCATTTTCAAAACTTAGTACAAAACTATAGTAATAAAAGCAACTTGAGAACATAATTTATGTAAATACAAAATGTCTCTAAATTGTTTACACATAATTAGATGATATTTAAGCAACAAATGGCTATTAAAAAACCATGGAATTGTACTTTAAATGGGTGAGTTACATGGTATGTGGAACATATCTCAATCACACTACAAAAAAAATGATGAAACCCCAAAAACTTTTGGGAAATAAATGCATAGCGACACCTAAGATGAATTAAGGAAAGTTCAGAATTAGGAAAACTATGATGGAAATGAGTTAAGTTCTGACTTGCTTTGGGACATAAATTAATTAAACAATCAAAACACTACAGGGAATTTTAAGAAGACAGAGCTCAGCATGTCGGGAACATTTAAGGTAATGCCAGGATGGATGAAACTGAAACGGGCAGATCTAGGAGAACCCAAGTTTGAGTCAGAATAGCCACAATGGATGCAGTGGCTCACACTTGTAGCTCCAGCTACTCAGAGGGCTGAGGTGGAAGGATCACTTGAGCCCAGGAGTTTGGGGCCAGCCTAGGCAACACAGGGAGATCCCAGCTCTAAATCAATAAACAAACCAATAAACAAAGATAACAAAAAATAATTATTTTTGGAGGAAGATGATTCTTGCTCCTCACACACAATGGGAAGTCACCAGCCAGCTGCCATGAAGATGGACAAAATATACAGAAATTAAATATAAATTAGATAGTATTAAGGGGGAAGTCAATTTGTAAGTCTCTTCCAGAGACCAGAAAAAGACTAATTCAGAGAATGGAGAAATAATAAAGTAAACTTTTAAGACTTATGAGAACAGAAAAGAAAATAGAGAAATATGGAGAATCTCAGAAAGGGGAAAAAAAGAGAAGGTTAAAAAATCACATAAACCCTGAGTGAGAGACCAGGTCATCCAAGATGAGGTTAGATGGTATTAAAGAAGATTAAAATGTAGTAGTTAGAAAAAGAGTGATGCATTCAGAGTGCTCTCTGTTTAGAAAGGCCTGAAGAGAGGAATTTTTTACAGCAAGTGACTCAGGCAGAGACACTATGACAGTGGATTTGAAAATCCTAGGAAGAACAAAATTATGCAAAGAAACCAAAACAAGATAGGTATAAAATAAGAAAGGATGAGAGCAAGAAGAGAAAAGAAGGGTATATTTCCAACAAAGAAATGATCTGACATGGGCAGAGGGGCACGTAAAGAGGCTGGTTCATGGCTTTGCCTTCTATTCTGAGTAAGCAGAATATGACTTCTGTGGCTGCCCACCTGGCCAGTTCTCTCACTCACCTGAACAGAATCGACTGTAGATTTTACCTGCTGTTGTCCATGGTTCTTCCCCTCGTTCCAATCTGGAGAGGGCATCTGGTTTGCTGGATACATACCCTGATTGTGGGAAATGACAGAAGACTTACACTGAAATGGGTTAGGATATGTCAAGAAGGGAGACTGTTACATTTTAGGGACTAAACCCAAATTTTATATCTATAGCTCTCAGCTTCTCCCTCAGGAAAAGGTGGATTACTCTTCATATGGGGCAAAAGAAGATCTGAGAATCAACCATTTGAGAGTACTGCTGATGCTCCACAGACTTAGACAGCTGAGAAATGGAAGGCCACAGTCTAGCACCCTCCAAGTAACACAAGGCAGCTGTCCTCACCCATTGACACAAGGCTGCTGTAGTTCTCCAACATCACATCCTGATACAGGTCCTTCTGAGCAGGGCTCAGGAGCTGCCACTCCTCCCAGGTGAAGACCACGGCCACATCATCAAATGTCAGGGATTCCTGTAATGACATAGTATTAATGAAATGATGTTCCTTTGGTGATACGGAAAGTGTGCAAAAGTTATTCTGCTCATTTTCACAATAAAAGAAAATTGGTGTTTGTTTTCTTAATACAAAGTGATAAAATAAGAATTCAAATAAAATATTCTGTGACTGTGCGATCATCTGTTGATTCAACAAAGTTGAAAATTCTAACAAATTTTGGCATATGTAGCCATTAATTCCTCTAGCTAATGTAATAACATCTACTATAAGTGTACATATATATGTATATATGAGCATCTATTTTCTAATACCAAACTATACACTAAAGAGACAAATAATACAAATTGTTATATGTTCCATGGATCTTTGAGCCAATATCAAAGTAATGAAAAAAAAATTGCAGATGCTAGTATCACAAGATAATATATACCAAACAACTATGGTCAATGTACAGAACAAAACAAAAGAAACTGAAGAACATGTACAAAGCAAAAAATATTAATAGATAATTCAGCAAATTTGGAAAGAATTATATTTAAAAAGTATATCAAACACATATACACAAATGCCTATCTAGATGTGCATAAAAACTGATTAATATGTTAGAGACATACAGAAGGAAACCTGCTTTTGTATTTATGAGAAGGCTACAGTTTAGGACATCACCACCGCACCACCTCTAAGAAAACTCATTAAGACCAAAATGAGCCTCAGAACTGATGCCACAAAACACCAACATCCCTTGAAAACTTGTCTGCTTTCTCATAGTTGATGCAACTTACTGTGAATATCTTGTATGACTGTCATAGATATCACATACAAGCTGACAGCTAATGCAAACTACAGGGTCCTCCTGCACAGTCATATAGCATATTCCAACATGAATCGTGTAGTGTAAAACCCTATGAATAATAATTTCCTCCTGAGCATGGTGGCACACACCTGTAATCCTAGCAACTCAGAGGGCTGAGGATTCCAAGTTTGAGGCCAGCATTAGCAACATAATAAGACTATGTCTCAAAATAAAAGGTGAAAAGAACCGGAGATGTAGCTCAGTAATAATCACCCCTGAGTAGAATCCCTAGTAACTACCTACCTATCAACCCATTTATTTATTCATTCATTTCTGATCCTACTTTGCACAGATTTCCCCAGATCACATTATTCTTCATTCATACTTGTTTAAATGCACTGATTTTTACCAGTCTTTACAAATCCACTGGGGAATAAAGAATAAGACAAATCAAGAGTCGGCTGGGCCTGCATCAATTTCTTCTGAATCTGTGAAATAACCATTAATTGGAATGTTCCATCTTTTGCCTCTTCTAGATCAGCTGCCACAACACTCAGCTAAATCATTCAGAGTCACCCCAGGTGAATTTGGATTTACACAAAATAATTTACACAAAGAAAGTCGCTTTTTCTTAGTGCCCAGTGATGGCTCTCAACCTTAGGGATCTGTTGGAAAGAGAGCCACCTGAATTCTTTATTCTTATATAGGGGGCACACAAGGGGAGGTTCAATGGAACATTCCATCCCAAAAAGGTCAGGGTAGTGTTACAAAGGAAGGAGAAGGCAGCCCACTCCATTGGGTAACGCCCACTCCATTGGGTAACACCCACTCCCAAAGCTGTGCTCCTCTGCTCCACAATTCCATTGCTCAAAGTTAGGGGTCGCTCAGCTCCTATGTAACAGCTTTAAAAAGTTTTGAAATATTTTGTAAGATCTAGTGTGTGCATAGGGGTCCTGTTTCCCCCCTTTATTTATAAAATTGAGTAGAGGATTGGCATAAGCCATAGTATCATTAGTTTAAGTTATAGACAATAGTACAAGTATTTAAATAAGAAAAGATTTATTATACCTAGGTGGTCTTAAACCTGACAAAAGTCATTTAAAGGACCATGGTAAATACAAACTTAGCTTGTGTGTGTGTGTGTGTGTGTGACTTCATTTTGACTTAACAGAATTACCAAAAATAAATATAATAAGTTGTTTATAAAAATTTGTGTTTTGAAGTTAGCTCTGGATTAACTTAAATAATTATCTAAATTTGGAGTGAAGTGAGAGACAGAGTTTTTAACTTAGGAATGGTGGCCTTTACTAGGGACATGAGAAATATAAAGACATCTATCTCAAATAGAAAGTAGACATGTTAAATAAGCCTAGAGAGGATATTTTGTTCTTTACCATTAACCAAAAATGAAATAGAAAAATGAACAGCCCTTTATGTACTAATCTATGAAAAACTGTTATTATTGTTATCAAACTCAATGTTGATCCAAGTGTAGGGAGTTAGTATCTCAAATATTAATGGGTAAAAATAGGTCAACATCTAATTTATAATTTTATATGGCACTGGGCTAGTAATGACATTTTGAGGAATTTATGTCAAAATAATCCTTATGTATAAAGAAACGGGTTGTAGGAATATGTTTAGTAATTTCATTTAATGTAGCAAGATTAGCTCCAATAATTATCTATAATTTATGACTTTACTAATTTCAAAAATACCAACTTGTGATGTAGGGCATTGCCTAGCACGTGTGAGGTTCTGGGTTCAATCCTTAATGCCACATACAAAAAAAATAAACAAATAAAATAAAAGCCTGCTTGTGGGAGACCAACCTTACATGTGACTGAGTTATACTTCCCAGCTGGGGGTTTGAGGGTACGTGACTCCGTGTCTTGCTACAGCCCCAGGGGTGAAGCTATGCTCACCTGTTCCTTTATAATATAACCCCTGCCCTGTTTAGGATAGAATCTTCCATAGAAGTGCCTTGTGTGTGACCCCTTCTCTTACTGTGCCCTTGGGTGTGGCCTACCCAGGTGTCAGTCAACCTGCTGACAGTGGACATCATGAAGATAGACTCAGCCCCCTGAAACCTGACCCCTTGCCTCATTTAAAATACTTCTCCTCAATAAAAGGGGTCAGCGCGTGCTCTTGCTCTCTCTCTTTCTGTGGACCCTTAAGGTCAGAGGAGCCGACGCAGCGACCCCAAAGAAAAAGGTATTTGTGTCTCTCGTGTGGTTATTTCATGCAGCCCAGTTAGCCCAGTTTGACTGGAGTGATCCCTGAGCCTTTTAGTCGTGAGAACAAAAACCTGGCACCTGCTGTCCATCTACAACTAAAGAAATTAATTAAAAAAAAAAAAAACCCTCCATCTCCAGCTAAGGGTATCCCTAGCAATTATATGATATCCAAGTGTTAAAACCTATTTGCTTAATTTGATTTTTTTCTTCTTCCTGGCAACCTGGCACCTGTAGGGTGAAGGACAAGTCACCCTGAATGATTCATTTTCCTTGTGCCCTGCCACTGTCACTGTTGCTATACACTGTCAGGAGCCGCTCTCGACAGGAGCTATGTACACACCTTTCAGTCCTGAGTAAAGAGGTACGGAACTGGTATTGCACCATTGCAATACAATTGAACCTTACCTCTGCTTGGATAAGAGAGGTGCAGCTCCAGGAGTGGGAGTCACCCAATGGGGTTAGATTACACCCACTTGTTTGTTGGAACCCTAACCCTTGCCTCATTAAAATGGCTTCTCCCCAAAAATACATGGGTTTGAGGTGTGCTTTTATTTTCTTGCTGGACTTGGAGCTGCTGTTGAGAGGCTGCCACACCATGTGACCAGCATTTTCCTTTCTTGATTGGTGAGGCTCTGTGTCACTTCCAAGTGATCTGGCCACATCAAAGTGGCCATAGAAGGTGGCCCCAATCTTGAAAGTCATAAAAATATAGCAAAATGTGTCTTCTTGTGTAGGTATGCCTTCCTACAGCCCTATGGGTTGACTAATGCTCACCTGTTCCTTTGTGATATTACCCCTTAGCCCTGTTTGGGATAGAATTTTCCATGGAAATGCCCTTTGTGTGTCCCTTTCTCTTGCTCCACCTCCATATTTTTTGTGGGCTCCACATTGGTCCTTCCCGCTGTCACTTAACCAGGACTTCTGGCTCTGCCTCCCAGCTACTAGCATATCCTTCTTTTTCTCACAGCCTGACAAAAAAATTCCTTCATAATTTTAATACATTCTCACTAAAAAAAGACTCATCCTTTTCAGGAAAATCGGGTTTCACAAGCTTCTACTCTGCTGCCCTAATCCTAACATGCTTTCAAAGCCAAAAATCTGATTTTTAACCCTCAACAGGGTTTATGGCTATATTATTAAGGAAAATTGCAGAAATAGTGTAACATTTATGAGAGACACACATGCTTGCTTATGTTTTATTTTTAGAGGTTATAAGGATTCATTTTGCTCATCAAAGGAACAAAAGTCAGCAACCTGAGACAATTTTCTCACAATGTTCCCACGATGACCAAAAAATCTTTATTTTCATTTCTGACTATGTAATTACAATAAATAAATAAATAAATATACTGGGATCTACATTAATGGTGTATCAATAGTTAAAGTAGGTTGAAGTATTCCAAATATTTTAAGAAGCACATGGTTTTATAAGGTTTACAAAATTATAGCTATACCTTTATTTTCAATGCATATTTTCCCAGTTATTTAAATAATCTATAATCAGTAATTCATAAAATAATTAGCATATGTCTATTTGTTTAATTAATGTCTATTTGTTTCAAATTGTTTTTCCACAACAGGAAGCACATAATTTATGTATATATATATATATATATATGTATATATATATATTTTATATATATTTTTATTTGATGCTCTGCCATTTATAGTTATAAATATTTAAGATAAATGTAATTTACTATAAAATACAGATATAATTTTATAAACAGAGATCTCCTAATTTAAAAACTATCTCTAGCTGCATCCCAAATTGAGATAATTATTTAAGTTAATCTAGAACTAATTTCAAAATACAAATTTTTATATACAATTTACTATATTTTCCATTTTTTGGTAATTCTAGTAAAGTCAAAATCAAGTCAAACAATTAATAAAGACTAAGTTTCTATTTGCCATAGTCCCTTTAAATGACTTTTGTCAAATCTTATGACCAGCTAAAAATGATAGATCCTTTCTTATTATTTAAATACTTGTAC